TGGATGTGATTTATGACACAGACAGAAGGGAGGGGATACAGGGGTAAAATTCAAATGCAATTAAGCCGACGTCAGTTTCGGCTCCGCAGAAGAACATGCCAAAATGTTGATCCTAATAAATGAATGGATTTCTTTTGAACTTTGTCTCGAGGCTCGTAAATTAATTAGGTCATCTTTTGGAAACTTCACATCCGGAGGGAGAAAAACGGCCCAACAGGCAACCCAGAAGTCCATTCTCGAACTTCTGGTTTGCGTATTGTGCCTTTATCGCCCTCCCCAGGCTTCTAGAAAACTGTGTGCTCAAGCATGGGGCAGCAGGGTGGGGTCATGCATGCATGCGCAGGCATTAAATTATGAGGGTGGGCACGCAAGTGTGGCATCCAAGGCGAAAAGGGTTCGGCATCACTGGTATAGGGTAATCGCATTTGCAATCCTTTCTTCCACCCAGAAGCTACTGAACGGCGGGCATCTCCAGTTCTCCCAGCCCATCCCAGTGAAATACCGGTGATATTACCGCCTCTGGAGGAGATCTCCTTCTACCGGCGAGTGGAGGAAGCCTTCCATTGCAAGCTCAAGGGGCAAATCATCGTGGACAAGAAAACCTTGATGGAACTCCAGAATTTCCAGATGGTGAGGCCAGGCAGGAGCCCTTATTAGGTGTTTGGGGAATATCTACAAACACACACACCACAAGGTGTGATTACAATACAAATAGCAATAACAAGAGCACTTAGACATATATACCGCTTCACAGTGCTTTACAAGCCTCTCTAAGCGGTTTACAGAGTCAGCCTCTTGCCCCCAACAATCTGGCTCCTCATTTTACCCACCTCGGAAGGATGGAAGGCTGAGTCAAACTTGAGCCAGTCAGGATCGAACATCTGGCAGTGGGTAGTTAGCCTGCAATGCTGCCTTCTAACCACTGGGAAGGAGGGAGGGAGGGAGGGAAGGAAAAGCCAGTGGCAACTATTTATATACTTTTTAATTTCTTTAGTTAGTTAGTTTGTCAAACATGTACAAGATAGCAGGTATAAGTATGAAGATGGACATGAACACAGGAAATGGGTACAAATAAATGCAGATGGTAGGACAGGGACAGTAGGCACGCTGCTACGCTTATGCACGCCCGCTTTACGGACCTCTTAGGAATGGGGTGAGGTCCACGGTAAGTTTAAGGTTGAAGCTGTGGGGGGTTTGAGGATGTAACAACGGAGTCAGGTAGAGAATTCCAGGTGTTGACCACTCTGTTGCTGAAGTC